CATCTCACTGCCCCCTTTCCTGTTTGTATATATATGTCTGTGAGTGGCCCCTGGTTTATCTCAGGGAGACAAGGCCAGCCCCGCCCCCACCGCGTTGAAGCTCCACTCTTGCTGAACCTGGGTTGTCCTGCTGCCCCTCTAATACCACCCATCCTGGCGCCACCGCTTCCCCCGTGCTCTTTGCTTCCAACTCTGACCCTCGCTCCTCTTCCTTCTTTCATCCTTTCTCATTCCACTGAGGGTATAGCTCCGTCTATTCTCCCCCACTTCTGCCCTGCTATCTCCCCCCACCCCACCCAGCTTCCCTCTTCTCTCTCTGAAACTGCATCTCTTACAGCTGGTCTCCCGCCCTCTCCCGTCTTCTTTGGCTTCCCAAGTCCTGCAGTTCTCTTCCCCGCCTCACCCCTACCTCGACCCCATGGTAGTCCCTCTGCTTTCCTTCCTACTTCCTTCTTGTCTCCTTGGCTCCCTGTGCCCCACCCTCTCTTTCCTCTTCTGTTGTCCTCTCCGGACTCAGCAAGTGAAATGGAACGTGTCTTCCTGCGGAGAGCTGGCCAGAGAACAGCTGGAAGCTAGTGCTGGAGGGAGCTGCTGAGTGGTGGCCAGGAGCCCCAGGGAGGCTGGGCAAGCCAAGCAGGCTGAGCCCCAACATTGTGGGGCCCCTTTGGAAACCTTCCACCACCTTGCCTGCAGGTTCCAGCATGGGGGCGGTGCCTTGTCCAGAATTTCCAACTTTTGAGACAAGCCTAAGCCCTGTCTGCCAACCCCTGGGGACAGCATATGCTGGACCTTGACTCCGCCCTGTATAGGGGCCAAGCTCCTAGGATTGGTGGGATCTTGGGGAAAATCACCAAGGGCCAGGGCTGGGCTACAATGGGGGAAACTCGGGTCTCCTGGGGACAGGATGAGATCATGGAAAGGATGTGGAGTAATGGGCTGTGTCATTCATTCATTCAACAAACATTCGCAGAGCCATGGTGGTGCGCCAGATTTGGGCTTAACTCTGGGGACAAAGATGAATCAGGCATGGTCCCACCCTCAAAAAACTTATATCCCACCCCCACCCCATCAGGTGGCTCTTGAGAACATGTTCCAACAGTCAGCTCTGGGCTGTGCACAGGACAGGTTAACCGCAGTGGGAAGGGACTGAAGAACAGGTTTTTGAAGTTCTGCCGCAAGTGGTGGTGGTTGGGTATATTTGAGAGGTGACATCCGTGCAGTCTCTGTTGTCCATGGGAGGATGGGGGCTTGATTAACAATGTCTAGTAGAGGCATAGTGTCAGAGAGAGGGCAAGTGGGGTGGTGGGTTCTGTGGAAGGGTTGGGTAGAAACATCCATGGGCCACTGGGCACCACTATGTCTCAAGTAGAGGGCAGTTCCAGAGTCAGCAATACTGTGGGTCATCAAACCTACCAGAGGTGAGGCTTGGTGGTAGCTGAGGTATGAGCAGGACAAAGAGGAAAGAGGCCAAGGGCAGCTTTCCAAGGCCCATGTGTGGACTGGGAGAAGAAAGCCCACCTAGAGCATCACCAGAAGAGAAAGACCATGATGAGAAATGCACAGGCCGGCAGGGGGCTTGGACAACTGTAAAGTTGCCATTGTGGGTCTCATGAGACCAAACACCAGAAAGGGTGAATGTCAATACTGGCTGGGCATGTAGGACTCACTGAGTTCTGGGTCCCTCCTGGGGCTGTACAAAGAGTAGGGGAGGAGTACCATTCTTCCAGCCCAGGAGGAAGAATGAAAGGGAAGAGTGTGGCTCAGAGGAGGAGAGGGTAGAAATTTAAACTTGACCTGGCCCTGCTTGCTTTCTCCTAATGTCCCTGGCCTGAGGAAAGCATGTCAGTTCAAAAAGCCTTAAGGCTAAGGGAGTGTCAGGGCTCTTCAGGCTTACATGGGAAGCATCCAGTGCTCAGGGTTCAGCAGCATCTCTTGAGGTCCGCACCACTGATATCACATGGGGCACTCCGAACACCCCCAGTACAGCCTTGGGACACTCAGTGGATGTTACCTGCTTCTCCTGGGCATCACAACACTTGGAATTTTCTCTAGCAGCTCTTGAGGCCTTCTAGGCAGATGTGGAGATCATAACTGAACCACCAGAGCTTGTCTTTAAACCCTGTTCTTTGTGGAAACAGAGAAGGACTTATCTCATTGTCCAAAGCAGAGGCTGTGAGCTCCTGGCAGGGAGTCCTTCCTCCCGGGCACTGAAGGTTGCTGCCACTGCTCTCTTCCAGCCGGACGAAGGAGAGCCGAGGGAGAGGAGTGGCTCCAGCCTAGACAGGGACAGTTTTAGCTTTCTTATGATGGCATGCTGGCCAAGAGCTTTTACTCCTCCTGCATGTCTGTGTCTTCAAGCTGCTCCCAGAGCAGGTCAAATAGGCACAGGCCTACTTGACATTTGGGGGACGAGGACACTGGTGACAGGAAAGACACTAGCTAGGATCACAGGCTGTATGAGTTGCCTTCTGTTGCTGTGATTAAAAAAAAAAAACCACTCTGACTAAAAGTGGCTTAGGGGAGGGGAGGGTTTATTTTAGCTTACATTTCTAGGTCACAGTGCATCTCTCAGGAAAGATAGGGCAGGAACTTGAGGCAGGAACCTGGAGACAGGAACTGAAGTAGAGACTAAGGAAGAATGCTCCTCACTGTCTTGCTCCAGCTTGCTTTCTTATACAGCCCACAACCACATGCCCTGGGCTGGTACCACCCAACCACTCACAGTGGGCTGAGCCCTCCTACATCAATCATTAATCAAAAAGAAAAGGAAAAGAAAAAGCCCTGCAGACATGTGCAGGGGCCAATCCAATGGAAGCGATTTCTCTTTTGAGGTTCCTCTTCTCAGGTGACTCTGGTCTGTGTCAAGTTACCAGAAGCTAACCGGAACACAGGATGAGTGAGAGACCCGGGGCTTGTCCTCAACATGCAAGGTCAAAGCCAGATTCTGGGGTGCCTGTTAACACCTGTGCTTCTGTATGAAGACCCTGCTGGCTTCATTCCTGTCCTCCACCTAAAGCCCCTCCTTCTGTCTCCACCCCACTCCCTTCCTCACCTAGCAGCACTGCCTCCTGCAGGAAGTCTTCCCTGTCACAACACGAATATGGACACATCACACGTCTGTACAACTTCCTGAGATGTCTTGTGCGTTGTAGGTAGTACCCAGATCACTCAAGCCAGACTCTGAGACAGAGAGGACCCAGAGTGGGACTCGGACTGTCAATAATCATCCAGCATGGGATATGCTACAGCCAGTGCTCATTAAACCAATGACGTAAGTGTACAGGAAGAGAGAGAAGTCAAGGAGAAAAAAAAAAAAGGATGAAAGGAAGGGGAAAGAGGAGGGAAGTAAAAAGCAAAAAAGGGGGAAGGGAATGAAGCAAGGAGGGAGGAATAAAGAGGAATATCTTTTCATGGGGTTTTAATGAAACAAAACTTTTCTCCATGGACCATGAACAACATGAGCCATGTCCACCATGCACGCCAACCTCTCCCTCAGAGAAGACTGAGACACTGGGAGGCTCCCTGTGTGCCCAAGGATTCAGAGGAAGTATAGCAGTTCCTGGACTCAAACCCTTAGCAAGCTTCCCTGGGTGGGAATCATCCCAGTGATCTCCACACAGCAGCTCTGACTGACCAGCTAGGGAGACAGGCCCGACATGGGAAGCTGTGTCAAGCTGAGCGTGGCCCATCTGCTCTCGCCACTGCACAGGCCCTGCAAACCCTGTCTGTCTCAGGAGCAAGTCTATGTCGGCAAGTTTGTCCACTGTGTTCTCGCGCTCCCTGGGGCTGTCATCATGCTGACCCTCCTGCTTCTCACCTGTCACCACTCGTCACAGACAAGCAGAGTCAGGGGACGGTGATTAAACCCCCTGCTTCCCATGCCCGAGTTCTGAACTAAATGTAAGCAGGGAGGCAGTGATCCCTGTGGGGCCATGAGGCAGACTCGCATAGGGAGATCCTAGAACACTCAGGAAGCATAAGCCAACCTAAACTGCTCATACAGCAAGTGTAGGGAAACTGAGGCCAGGAGGCAGGGATCGAGGAGAGGACAGGGCCTACCCCAGGCAGTCTATGTCCACAGCCACTTGACCTCCCCTGAACTCTCCCTAACCAGAGCTAGAAAATGTGTAGACAGACATCTTACCTGTGCCTTGGTGAGGGGAGGCCACTCCCTTCTGAGCGCTGGACTGAATTCTCTGTCTGTGTATGTATGTTGCCTCATATAGAGCAGGAGAGACATAAATGCTTGCTGAGAGAATCAGCAGTGGGCAGGAGGTGAGATGGATGCCAGACACACACACACACACACACACACACACACACTTCTGAAGGCCATCTTACAAGAGTCATCCTGTGTGCACCTCCTCCAGGTCACTGTCAATGTCTGCTGGGGTCTAAGCATTTAGATTCATGGGTAGACTGTAGCAAGGTGGTTTCTGTCCCCTGCAGGGCTCTCAGAGCACTAAGGAAAGGAGACATGGGTTGCTGATGGAGTTTACAAAGAGGAGCCATAGACTGTGGGAGTTGGGGAGGGGGTGGTCTTAGAGCTAGGCCTTTCATGGCGGTTGCAGGCTACCCACCCCAGATGGACTGGCGCTAGGAGCAGCTTAGTGTCATTAGTGATGCAATAGGCCTCTGCATGCCAGCCCCTATTCTCTGTTCTCAGCCTCACAGACTGGGGAAGCTGATATTAATCACTCCCACTTTACAGGTGAGGAAGCTGAGGAGCGTGCAGAGGTGCAGCCTATGAGCAGAACTGGGGTGAGAATACAGGCAGGGTCGACCAGGCTTACATCACCCTGCTGGGACACACTAGCTGGATTTAAAGGAACCCTGTTGCTAATGTATGGGCATTCCTTGTCCCATTACCCATCTAGGAGATGTTGGGGAACCTCACTGATATAATTCCTTAACCAAGACACAACCCAAAGGGATGGCCATCTATCCGCTGAATGGCAACCTGGCACGTGGCTGAGACCATGCTGCATCTTCTGTTTCAGGTCACTTTTTGGGCAACAACACTGTCATCGACGTCCTAAGACAGGCAGGACTGGAGGTGGACCACACACCTGCTGGGCAAGCCATCCACAGGTAAGCATCAGGGTATGTGGTGGCATCTTGGAGCTGTCTAGCTGATTGCTGCCTGACCACATGCTGTGGTTACTGCCCCTGTGACCTGGCCAGGCCTCAGAGAGAGCTGTGAAAGACTGCTGTAAGATGGGGTCTCTCTTGGGAACAGGCTGGACCAGGCCTTTTGACGAGGTGATAGATGGGGTGAGCAGACTGGTATGCAATATTGTTGGGATCACCCAGTGCAGTGGGAATGGGGACAGAATGAGAATTTGCAAGATTCTTGGGGTTCAGATACAAATAGATTGGGCAGGGGCATAAGTGACCTCAGCTATCCTAGAAAGTCAGTGGACAGCCAGGCCCTGAATGAGGGTGATGCCATAGGAAGAAAAGGCTACAGTTTGTTTGCTTCCCTGTGTCCATCTCCACTGCATGGCCCTTTTGCTCTCCCACCCACTCATGATCCCCTGCTTGCTGCCTGTATCTGATCCATTGTCTCCTCAGGCTGTGCCCCTAGCGTCCAACCTTCCGGCCAAGACATTCTCACGTTGCCCACAGAGCCACTCTCCTCCCTCGGTGGGTTCCTATTCTGCACCACTCCACATAGCATCACCCTGGAAGTTTCCCCAGAACAGGGCCCAGCTCTGCCTATCCCAATATCTCTAGCCACAGCATCAGGCAACCACCAGGCCCGAGATCTCCTAAAAAGTGTCAGAATCCTCAAACCCAGAGATTCGTGCTCCAGCCATTATGCAGGAGCCTTCTTACCAACCTACAAGGATAACCCCGTTGTGATTTCAGCCCCTGTCCTTATGGTTACAAGACCCAAAGACCTCAAAAGGCTTCCTTAGTCACAAACAAGTTGTATTGGCTGCTCACTCTGTATGTTTCTAACTCATTGTCATAGCAGGAACTATGGGTATTCCTGATTTAGTTAGGGCAGCTGAGCCTATCATGAACTCACTTGCAGAAGGACACATTTGTAGGGCAGTCTGGCCCTGCAGCCTCCCTCAGGTCCTAACTACTTCTTGTACCTACTCTAGGCACAGGGAACTCAAGAATGAGACCTTGACCTCTGGAGAGAAAGCGTTCTTGGGTCCCCCAGAGCATGGATTCCACACCATACCCACCTAGTTCCATGTGACTTCTATAGGAAGTTATGAACCTCAGTGTTGGGACTGCATCCCAGCCTCTCACTGCTTTCCTCAGGCTCAGCCTGAAGAAGTTTTAGAGGGAGAGCTAGGACAGGTGCAATGAGGAAGAAGGGATGCAAGGTAGCCTGGGAGTCAAGGCATTCCTCTAGTTCCCTCCTGTTCTCTGACTTCACCCTTCTCCCCACACCCCCAAGGACCTCTTCCTTGAAGCTCATTGTGTGTGGCCAGGCAGGGCAGGGGAGGCAGGCAGGCCCCTATTCATCTTGGAGCGCAGGCCTTAGAGGAGGAGATCCCCTCCTCTGCCCCCACCGGCTCTGCGCAGAGGATTCTCAGTCTTCGTCTTCTGTACAGGGGGATGAAGGAACTTGCAGGGCAGAGGGGGTGGGGAAGCTGAGGAGGCAATGACAATAAAAGCCATCCTTGGCCACAGGTGCTTCCTGTAGCTATCTTTTTGTCTGACTGTTTTGAATTATCTCCTCAACAGCTGCAGCATCTCCAATAGACTGGATCCTGGGAGTCTGGAGTTGCCATGGGGGCTGGGAGAGGATGAGCTGAGCCAATGGCCTTTTGCTCTTCAAAGAGAGAGAAACCCCTCACCCACTCAGTGTTGCAGTGTAAGGGTGGATGGGAGGACAGGCTGCTTTCAGTCCTGGATACTACCTCCCTCACATGCTGTTGGCTTGGACACAATTCCTAAGACCACTTTTAACCCTCCAGGGCCAGATGTCCCCAAGGAATTTTTGGGGGGCCACAGGAAGCAAAGAATAAAAGAGAGAATATCTGCAGGCTGAGAGGCATACCCTACTTTAAGCACGAATTCCACAGACATGACTAAATGACCCTTGAGTAGCTGCAGAGTCAGGTCCTTTTGTTCGGTGACCCACATCAGAGAGGTTTAGCAGGTATCAGCCACTGCGCTGAATGGCAGTGCTCACTGACCGCCATGCATGCCCTCCTGATGGAGCAGGTAGCAATACTCTTCCATCCCCTACCCAAGGGCTACCCATTCACAGTCTGGGCCATGAGTTATAACGTGGGATGAGCACTGTATCAGCCTTCAGGCTGAGCTCTAGTGACAGCCCTGCCCTGCCCCCATTCAGAAGATGATCCATCAACATCCAATACAGCTCGAATAGCATCAACTCTTCAATGGCCTGGCCGCCTACCACTGCCAGGCACTGTTCTAAGCCCTTCACCTGTGAAATCACAATATCCTCGAGAAGGTGCAGGCCATCCTTCCCCCATTATACAGGATACTGAGAGAGAGCAAAGTTAGATAACTCACCCAGAGACCCTCCACCAGGGCTACTGCTGAGCGAACCCTTGATCAAGATCAGACAATAAGCATAGACCTCCTTGTCTAGCCAGCCCTCTAGCCCTGTGCTCTCACACCTGCCTCTGCCATCTGCTCATGCCCTCCTCCCCAGCAGTGTGGCCACCTGTGTGTTTTACTCTGTCGCCCACTTTAGGGTGTGAACTGTAGCGGGGCGTCTGTTTGGGTCACTGCTGATGCGTAATTTCTAGGGCACGCTAGCTGCAGGGAGTTCGTGGACTAGAGGATGGAATAAAGAGTCAATGCTCTGTCTCTCTATAACAGACAGCAGTTGCCCTGGGTCCCTCTAGCCTGTCCCAGCAGTGGTGTTTCCCTTGCTTGAAGACATCCCCTCTGCCCCACCGTCACACACACACACACACCCACACACACACACACACACACACACACACACACACACCATACTGCACACATGGCTTACTCACATTCTGTTTCACTTTGCAGCCCTGCTACTGGGAGCCCGGCTCCCTCTTCCGAGGGCACCTCTTCTGCCAGTCCAGCCCCAGCAACCGCAGCTGCTGCAGTCCTGGAAGCAACCTCAGCAACCCCCACCACCCCTCCAGAGGAGGAGGATCCAGTCCTGTCCCCGCACCTCCTGCTCCCCGACAGCCTTAGTCAGCTGGAGGAGTTCGGACGGCAAAAGTGGCGCAAGAGACTAAACAAACAGCAGCGGCCGAGGCAGTTCAACGACCTCTGGGTCCGCATCGAGGACAGGTGAGCAGGGAAGGGACAGGCTGTCCAGGAGCTAGCTGTAGATCACCAGTCTCCTTTAGGGCTAGTGCATTGCCCCAGACCCTGCAATGAGGAAGCGGGGACAGAGGTGTCAGACTGGAAGCTGAGAGGCAGGCTCTTCGCTGACCCTTGAGGCTCTCTCTGGGCAGCTTTTGGGGTTATGTAGAACATGTACATATCTGACTTGGGAGGTTTATTCTCAACATAACAACAAGTAGAATTCTCTGCAGTTTAAAAGTGGCAGGGGGTCTGAGATCCAGACGCAAGAGGATACCAACTTTGAGGCCAGACTGGACAATTAGTAAGAGTCTGTCTCAAAATAAAAAGTAGAAAGAAGTCTGGGGGTATAGCATCAGGATAGAGTGCCTGCCTAGTATGCACAAGGCCCTGGACTCAATCCTCAGTCCAGCCAGTAACTAACAGACAGTTAATTAGTTAACATTAAAATGAAAATATGGAAGCATCCTCCAAGGGCAGCAATAGAAGTCCACTGTGCCTGGCCTGCCCCTGATTCCTTTGTCCCATGGATGGGGGTGAAAGCAGGAGCAAACATGGCAGGATAAGCATATCAGAGGGTGACAGATACCTGTGCTGGGAACATTTGAGCAGTATCGCTGTAGCATGGAGACTCTGGAGGGACCCCCCACCCTGTGAGAGAAAGGAACACCAGGCAGTAGATGCTGTGGCTCCGGAGTGTTAACTGTGAGCCTTTCTGTAAACAGGCAGGTACAAAACACAGCCTAAGTTCTGGCACTCTCCCCATCCTCCTTCCATTTGCTCCTCCTGTCACCAACACCTCCTGCCTCAGCCTGTGGCCAGAGCTCCTATTGCTCCAAGATTCTGTCTAACACCCGCACTCAGGTCCTCTCCTCTCCAGAGCAGTCTTCCTAAGTCAGCTGTGTGGCAGAAATCTCTGCAGACAGTGAATAGTGTCACTAAGGAATGTCTCAGGAATGGGCCAGAGCCCTCCCCCACTGTGACAGCCCAGTCCTGGATCTGATGTTTAGACAGTGGAACATCAGAACCCAGAGTCCCAGTCTGGATCTTAATGCCATCCAGTATTTTCCTCTGCACTCTGAACAGAACCACCTTGGGTACTTGTTAAATAAGCAAATCTTCAGCCCCACACAGACCTCATGCAGGAGAGTCAGAGGATGGAGACCTGAGGTGTGTGCCCCAGGAGGTTCTAAAGCAGCTCTAGGGAGTTTTGGCCCAACTGAGCATTCATAAATATGAACCAAGGTGTGAAGCCCAAGGGCCTGTCCTGGGCCACCCAAGGAACCAGAAACTGACCAACGGTACCTTCCACTTCAGGACTCTTCTGTGGCCTGGTGGCTGAGCTAGTAGTGATAAGAGATTGATGTAGTCCAGGCCTCATCACAAAGAGCACGGCATGTACTATCATGAAAAGACTTCTAATGGGTAGCATCAAAGCCACTGAGCCCTTAGGTGTTGGTGCCACAGCGCCTCTTCTGGGCTACTGAAGAATGCACTTGTGCAGAGACAGCCCTGCCGCCTATAGCAGAGGCCTCACTGGGGCTTTGTTGGCTGAGACACACTAAGATTGGGTACCCAGCATTGGCTGCTCCGCCTAACTGGGTGCGAGAGCCGAGAGTTTTGGAGAGCTGCATTGTCCTGGCGTGCTTACAGGCTACCCAAGTCCACTCAGAGCTCTGAATAGCCTGCTCACTCGCCGTCCTGGTCAATAGAGGACTCCAACTCATGGATGGGGTAGCGGGAGGCTCGGCTGTCAGCTCCAGCAGCGAGCCGCCATCCCCTAACTGTGTCCGAAAGGGAAATGCGGACAAATGGCACCAGACAGTTTCCATTTCACAACATGGACTCTGGAAGATAGAGCCTGGCCTCGGGGAAGAAGGCAGCTTTTCTTTGGCAGAGGGAAGCCCTTCTCCACCCCAGCAGGTTAGCTGATGCACCTCCCTCTGCTCAGGCTGAAAGAGAATGTTCCACCAAAGAGCAGTTTATTAAAGTCCCTCATTGCTTCTTGAGAAAGTGGGCCTTGCACTCCCTGGGAAGACCCAGTAGTGGGTACAGACTCCCACACTCAAAGGACTCATTCCTCTCTTCCCAGAGTCCCCAAGTCTCCAGTTTTCTGAGGAGCAGAGGATCCGACGGAGCATATTTGAAGCCCTTCTCAGAAACCAGTTTTCCTAGAGCCCTGTTTTATTCCACTTCTAGCTCAGCCCTCACACCCACCTGGAGCTGGCTCTCCACGTCCACCCCTGCTTGCGCGTCTGCCACCTACACTCCTACCGCAGGGCCCCTGAGGGTCTTCTGCTCTTTGGTTTTGCCTGTCTCAGGGTACTCACCTTCTCTGCCTTCCAGCTCCACTGGGTCCTCTCTAGGCTACGTGCCACCATGGGCTATACCCTGCTCCCCCCGCCATTGTACTTGTTTCTCTCTGCTTAGGGTGGCGTGCCAGTGGGCCTTTGTGAAGCTCCTCCTGTGCCAGGCACTTATATCTGTCACTTTATAGTCCTATCAGGAGTCACAGAAAGTAGGCCTATTTTACAGGGAAGGAATCAGAGTCATCCAGATCAGTGAACTTGCTGAGGGATGGAGACTCGGAACTGTCACCCAACTCTTAAGGTTCATGTTTGCCACCCACTATCTCAGGGCTTTTCCCATCCTCACCTGGCTTAGCTCTCCTCTCTGCCCTAGCCACCTAAGGGACTGTTGCTCACACTACATTTCTTTGTTTCTAGGCTGGGGAATCCTGGGCACAGATCTGGTTTGGGTGGCTCCAGGTCACCCAAGGCCTCACTAGGTAGGAAGGGTCTTTTACTGTATGCTTGAGCCTGAGGAGAAGAGAACCAGGGATGCAGGCTCTGAGTGCCTGCCTGGGACACCACCTGGAGCAGGCTGGCCTCTCTTTGCCCCTCATTACCCCAAGATGTAAACACAGTGGAGGAAGTTTAGAGTAGCAGCAGCCTGTGGCAGGATGATTTATGGGGACCCGTGGAAAGGGCTGAGTGTGTCCACAGATGGATGCATGGCAGAGGAGCATTCTCAGGAATCCCTTACCTCTGAGCACAGATAGACACAGCAGGGGAAGGTGTGACCATGGCGAGCCAGGACCCATAAAACATGGGTCTGTGGCAATCCTAAAGTGCCTCCTGCTCCATTAGGGCCTTGGCTGATTCCTGGAAATTATGCCGGCTCTCATTCTTTGTGTCCTCAAGTCTGCAATCACGTGTGTGCACACATTCGTGCATGCGTGTGTGCATGTGTGTGTGTGTATGCATGTGTGTAAGAGAGAGAGATGGAGGCACAGTGACTGGCACATCTGGGCTGGAAGCACATTGAGGACTCACAGGTGTAAAAGAGAGAGTACCTTCCAACTGCTAGGCATTGGCCAAAGCCTGGCCCAGGGGTGAGCATCAGTATGTGGTAGACATAGAGCCTTGGTGAGTGCTGCTGGACAAGTACAGGCCACACCCAGTGCACGTGTCAAAGCCCTCAGAGATGGGAGGGAACACAGTCCACCTCCAGAAGGGCTCTGCCTGTCTCCTGTCAGCTGCCCATCATGCTCAAGGTATTCCTCTCATTCCTCGCAATGTGGGGTGGTCCAGGGAAGCCAAAGTGTCCCTGTCAGGCCAGAACCCTACCTGAAGTGGGTGGTGCCCCATGAAGATTGGAAAATGAAGTCATCCAATCAAAAGAAAAGAAGAAACGCTGAAAGGGTCAGACAGAGTGGTGTTGCAATCCCACCCCACAGGGCTTTGACAGTAAGAAGATGCCTGTAAAGCCAACATCAGCCCCACTGTGACCCCAAAGTGGCTGCTGCTAATGTTACCTTCAGAGTCTTTGGTTTGGGGTGTCTAGGGCTCAGTCTCCCCAGAATACTGCTTCTTGAGACCTTCAGTATGTCTTAGACTTAAAGCCAATAGATGGGGGCTGTGGAACACCACCCCCAGTTTAGCAAGGACATGTTGGGTACACGCCTGTCACCCACTACTGTGGATTAGTGCTGGTACCAGACAGTGACATATGGCTCCCAAGATAGTATCACTGGAAAGGTCCTGAAGTCTCAGCTCTATAGGGCCCTGGCAATTCCCATCTATGGGCCCATTTTTCACCTCGGGATGGAAAGTTGCTTCCACTTCTGGCCCACTGTGAAGCTATTAGAACGCATCAGATGGTTAGGCCACAGTCTGCAAGGTTGAGGGAGGGTAAAGGCATTCCTGGGGAAGGAGTCATGGCACAAGATGTGAAGGCTGATAGGCTCCAGGTACTGAGTAGAGGCCAGTTGAGCAAGCTGAGTCTTTGCCTACATCTGATTTCTTGGCCCAAAGAGGCCAAAATCCAGTTGGGAATCACAGGTTCTCCTCCAGTGATGACGTGGAGGATCCTGTCATCCAAGCCCTGCATTCTCTAAGGCTGGTGCCCCTGCATCTCTCTGAAGGTCTCTAAGGAAGTAACTGGAGGCTGCTTCACTTCACCAACCCCCGCCCCCACCACTCTCTGTGACTCCACTCAAGCAATAAAAATCTCTAGGCTTTGGCAAGGGACTTTCATCTTTGGTTTTTCAAAGAGCAAAAATAACACTTGTGCCCCCAATTAGGCACCAGCTCCTCACATTAGCAGTAATATTAATATCAGAGATGCTCAGTGCTGAGCCTTGGCGGGCTTCTAGAGGCCTCTGGTGCCAGAATTCATCCCTGTTCCAGGGAACCCCCAGAAAGGGGTGGCAACCTGACACGGTGCCTGGCACCAGCCTCACTTGTCTGTGCTTTCCCTCGAATTTCTGCCTGTGATCTTACTTCTGGCTTTTGCATCAGGAAAGCAGTTCAAAGTCCCTGACCCATCTTTGCCCTTCCTTTGTAGAGATTGGGAAACTGAGGCCTAGAAAACAGTGTTGACCCAGATTTACAGATCAAGCCAAGGAGGTAACGAAGACTTGTACAGAGCTCTGTCTTTCCAGCCAGCCAGAGGGGCCTTCCCACACTTGGGGGTCCTGTCAGCTCAGAGCAGACGTAGCCCCCCAGTGCCCGCCATCTGCAGGGCCTGGGAATGTGCAGTGTGTTTGGTTTGGCCTCCAGACCGTTGTGCCATGAGACAATTTTCCCCAACATAAGCCTGGAAGGGGGTGGGGACCTGGACTGGGGACCAGCTTTGTGAGCTGAGTAAGCTAGGGAAGAAGGAGGGAGCTTGTACTCAGAGGGGCTCATCCCCCTCCCCAGTCCCACTTCATTTTCCTGGGACTCTTTCCAAGCAATAAAAACACCACTTGGGCTCCAAGGGAGAGTTTTCATCTTTTATTTTTCAAAGTGTGAAAGAAAATGCCTATAGGTGTCTTGTGAGACGTAATTCCCATTTGGTCTTGCCACTCTAGGACAGCCTGAGCCCTGGCTCCGGCCACCTCACAGGGCATGTAGCCCACTGCCCTGAAGCTAGCCCTCAGAGCCTCCCAACTACCCAGGCTGGGCCACACAGCAGCAGCTAGGCATGGACTTTTATGGGGGTGTGTGTGTGTTGCTTGCAGTTCTCTTTTTCATTAGACGAGAAAGGGAGGGTAGAGGCTGAGGTAATGACCTCTGCTAGGCACAGGCATTAATCTCCTCCAGGGGCTGCAGCCAACAGGGCCTCAATCTGACCCTGGAACCTGAACATCACTGTTCAGGGTCTCACCAGGAAATAGCGCACATCCCTAATGCTCACGGTCTATGCTACAGAAACAGATGGCCCCAGTGCATCTCACCTTGCTGAGAATCCTCATCCCCTTCGAGCTCAGCAGAAACAGTAATATGGCATAGCTCTAGCACTGAGCATGGTGGCTGCCTGTACTCAGAAGCACATTGTAAGTCAGCCATGTTATTAGTGGGAGAGGCAGAGGCACAAAACTATTAATGATAATTTAACAAACAAAACAGCAAAGCCTTCCTATGCTCCCCAGGGCCAGGCGCTGTTCTAAGACTCCTCAGTAGAAACCTGGTCTTCAAGCCTCCTATAACATATGCCCCGCTGTGACAGTGAGCTCAGTGGGAAGTGGAGAGTGTTGTGTGTGAGCCTTCGCTTTCCGAGGTAGCAGGCGAGTCTCTAGAGGCGAGTGAGAGCGCAACAGCAAGACACTGGACATGATGGGCGTGAGGCAGAGGTAAAGCAGCCCAGTATAGTGGGATGGGGACAGGACCCATGGGGTTGAAGGCCAGCATGGCAGGCAACTGAACCCACTGAGTTTTGTGAGCTAACATGTGCAGAGGAAACCCCCTGGCTCGCCCGATTTGCATACACATTCTGTAGGAGTGCCGTGCCTGCCTGCCCTGAGAGAGACAGTAGTCTTTCCTCTCCTGCCCCATGGCTGTGCAAACCTGCTTTGCCCCAGAACCTGACTACCAGTAGCCTCCTTGAGGCCCACCATTACTGAAAGGGGTGGGTAAGACCCATTCTGAAGGCTTATTGTGATGGTGGGAATCATGTTTGAACAGGTGGTATGGGGGAAGCTCCAGCCAAGGCGGTTAGGATGATGTGGGGAAAATTAAGGCGTGTGTGTGTGTGTGTGTGTGTGTGCGCGTGCGTGCACACATGCACGTGCTCTGCTACCTTCAGCAACCCTGGAAGGAGCAACCAGAGGCAGAACACCTGTAGACAGGTGGAAATCTATACTCTGGGAACCTCAGAGCTTCTGCCTTCATGACTTTGCAATTTTTTCTGCCTGGGAGCTACCCCCATGACCTCCTTGGAGGTCAGCTGAGCTGGCGGTGGGATTCTAGACTATTCCTCTTCCCTACGATATCTAGTAAGGATAGAGCTGAACGCCAAGCTCTCTTCCTAGGAGGAGGCTGCTGATGGTCTCTGTTTCCTCTTTCCAGCACCACTGTCTCACCACCCCCGCTGCCTCTCCAGCCTACCCCCAGCTCCGGGACCACCAAACCTTTTGTCAAGTTCTCACACCAACTCCAACAGCAGGACGTTGCGGGGCCTACCAGCAACTCAGCACCTACACTGGGCCTCCCCGCTGCTGTGGCTGCCACCATCGCCGTCCCCTTCCTACTACACACCCTCGGGCCTTCCTGACCTTGACCACCCTGCAGAGCAGTCAGAGAAGGCACAGAAATCTGTGACCGTGCTCACCGTCTGACGTCACCTCAGAGGGTACTGACACCTCAAGGCAGTTCACACAGGACAGGGACCTTAAAACACCAGAGCTTTATTGTACCCAAATTACATCTTCTTTTTTGTAGAAGGTCTTAATTTCCCATAGTGCTATGGGGCCCTTTTGTAAAATATGTGTCCATATTAAAAGAGAAAATGTATTTATTCTATCGATAAAACTATTTTTATGTAGCCTATGTTATAGTCCCTGAATTAGCCCCAACACCAACCCAGGAAAGGAGCTCAGGTTCCCATGACCTCTGTGACCTGTGTGGACTGTGGCTTTGAGTTGGCCCCAAGCCTCCTAGTCAGGCTTGGCTTCTCCCACTGTAGGTACCTCTGAGGGAAAGCAGAAAGGCAGCCCCAGCTTTTGTGAAGCTGAATTTCATAGCCAGAGGCATGGTGGCCCGTCCATCCTCCTCATCCCTGGATGTACCCAGGCCCTGGAGGGACAATTTAAGGGGGAAAAAATGCTGCTATTTTGAAGTCCTGAGTGTCTGTGGATGGCCTTCCAGAGCTCCTGGTGAGGGTTTTTCCATCTAAGTGGGAGACTGGCGCTGAGGCAGGTGAACCCAGTCCCATGGTCAGATTGCTGCACTGAGACCCAAAAAAGTGAATGGGATTTACCCAAAGTCACGAAGCAAGTGGGCGATCTGTGTTCCAGTGGCACTGGCCCAGCTTTCATTCCATAGAAGCTGGTAAAACCACAGCTGAGTGAAGTAAGCAGAAGGACAGGAGTGGGCACAGGACGGTTTCAGGAGTGATAGAGTTCAGGAGCCATCAACTGTGGCACTGATGATGGTAACAGAGGACCATGGACCAGAAGCCTGCAGCAGGGTGGGCTCTCTGCGCTCTCCCTTCATAGATCCTCACACTAATGCTGTGAGATGTGATGACCCTCATTTCAGTGATGACACTGAACACCCAAAAAGAGTGAGAAAGATCCACCAAAGTTTACACACACACAGAGAGAGAGAGAGAGAGAGAGAGAGAGAGAGAGAGAGAGAGAGAGAGAGAGAGAGATCAGTGTGATACAAAAACTACCCTTGTCTCATGGACCGTGTTCTGCCCCTGTTTCTGTCTGGAGAAGCACCAAGGGAGGCAGATCTCCCTAACTGGAGCCCTCCCAGGCTTCCTATAGCAGGGGAGGAGGCTGTTTCACCAGCTCCCCCTGCTGGTTCCTGCAGCCAGGGGGCTCTAGCAGGATGTGGGCAGGCAGGGAGTTGAGACACAGGCTTACCCTTCTATCCCCAGGGGCTGACCAGGGACACAGTGAACCAATGTGGACTGAATTTCAGCCCGCAGCTCAAAGCTGGGCTTGTGGCTCATTAATTATTTAATTATGAGAGCAGGAAAGACCCCCTCACCTGGCAATAAAGCAAGAGTAATACTAAGGTTCAGATAGAGGAGAGACTTCTCCAAGATGCCATAGCTGGCGCAGGCATGTTGACTCCAGTCCTGTTCTCTCACCCCGCTGCACATGGGTTTCCCTGGCAGCCTTGATGGCGCCTGCTTGGCTGCAACACTGCCATGCTAAGGTTGGCAGACGTCTCCCTTCTGAGATGGCAGGATTCTGGGCAACTCATTGGATAGTCAGGGGTCCCACAGGCATGCTGGCAGGCGGCAGAATTCTTTCCAGCTCTGCCCCAGTGGACAGGTTTAAGCCTGAGACCTGGCAGGATTCTGGAACTCCGCTTCACAGGGTCCCGCCAGCCCCATGGGCACCACACTGTAAACTGAACTTGACCTCCACCAGGACTGGAGTCAGTTTATCCTTGGGGAAAAAAAAATGTGACTTCCTATTGCTGAGCGGGAAGGGGCTTAGCTGACTTTTAAAGCAGGCTCAGAAGTTAGACATCAAACGGATCGTGCAGAGCGCTATTGGGATGAGATAAGTGTAAAGGAATTGGAAACACACAGGCCAGATTCCCCTGTTCGGGGCAGAGTATGGCATGAGATGTATGGAGATCAAACTTGAGGTTAATTAAAGATGAAGCATTTGGGGAAACAGTCCAGGCACCTGACTGTGTGCCCAGACCTGTGCCAGGCGTGGGGCCAAAATGGTGAATTAATGCAGCATATAATCACTGCGAAAGCACGGTGCCAGGTTACACATACAGGCTGCATTGTACCCACCCTCCTGGGCCCAGAAGAGTTCACCATCAGGATGGGCTAGAGGGGCCATCCTGGGCTACTGCTGCCCCCGCCCCAGTGTCAGCCCACGGCCCTTCCAGATCCCTTCTTAAGGAAGATGAGGAGTGAAGGAAGTGTTCCAAACTCTCTTCCTCAGCCAGACTTGAAAATTTTTAAAGAAAGGCAACGTGCCATGCTTAGGGGCCCATGTCTGTAATGACCGTTCTTGGGAGGCTGAGGCAGGAGCATCGTAAGTTTGAGGACCAGCCTGGGATACATAGTGAGTTCAAGAACAGCTTGAGCCATATAGCCTAAGCCTGTATGAAAAATAGTGGAAGGAAGGAAGGAAGGAAGGAAGGAAGGAAGGAAGGAAGGAAGGAAGGAAGGAAGGAAGGAAGGGCACAGGCTGGCTAGACCAACAGATCAACAGATTTCCAGATTGTCATTAACCTAGAAGAGAGAACAGTTATTGGTCAGACATCTAAGAGCAACGGTGCTTGTTCCCTGGAGATCTCTAATAAGCCAGGGTTTGAGTAAGTAGCAAACTCAACTTGTTGGCCTACATCCCAGGAGGCCTCAGGCACAAAATTAAAATGTATGGCTAGGCCACTTCAACTTCATGTCCTGCTCTGAAAACGCCAGTAATCCATCAGCCGTTTCTCAGACTTCATGTTCTGTCTAGCTGGACTCATAAACACAAAGCTTCATTCCTTTGAGCGTTCCTTGAGTATTTTTAGAACTTTCTCTTTGACTTTGAGGCAGACAGAAAGATGGAAGGCCAGAGGCCCAGCAGATTAAGTGACCGGGACATGGTGAGGGGAAAAGAATCAAGGAGGTGCAGGGGCCAGTCCTCAGGGTCAGAGATCCAGAGTCTGCCATGTGTGGACAGCAATGGCTCAGAACATTCATCTCACACGGGAAGACCCATGTACATCCTCTCCACATGCAGTGTGGTCACTTGCTACTTCCTGGCCTCATCTAGACTTGGGCAAGCCTGGGAGCTCAGGTGCTTTGCCCCACCACTCAGCCAAGTACTCTTATCACAACAGATCCCAAAGAAGAGAACTGCTACCAAAAGAGAATTTCTTTGAAAAGATGATATTCTATGCAGGATTTGTAGCACAAATGACATCCTGGGTGTTAAAAAACAGAACTGGGGTAATGATAACCATGAGATAAATACCAGGTCCTTCACTTGGCATTCCAAATCCTCCATGACCCAGCTCAGCTGACCTTGCTGGCCATTCTCATCCTTCCCACCCCAGATCTGACAGATGGAATCATATTTGTTATTTCTAGAATATACACAGTGTTTTATACATGTTACTACCCTGGGGAAGCTCTCTTCCCTTCTCCCAATCATGTATCCTGTGAGGATAATTGGGAGGGGACATTAGCTCCAGGATGTCCCCCTAGAGCCCTTTGTGTGCCCCGAGACCTGTTACCATGCCCACATTCCAGAGCTGGGGCTGTCTAGATAGGAATTGCTCCCTGTTGGGAAAGCAAGCAATTCAATGGGGTAGGTCATTTGTCATTTTTCTATATGTCCTTCAACACAAAAGTGATACTCCTTAGATGCACTGAGAGGGACAAAGGAGGAAAGGAAGCAGACAAAGGAGGAAGAAAGTCTGGAGCTAGGAAAGGGGAAAGACAGCCTTAGCTTTCTTTTTTGGGACAACTTCCACCTCCCCAGCTGGTAAAGGACAGCACCTGAGGGCATAGGTCTCTGGATGGATAGAGAGGCAGAGTATGCAAGGCCCCAAGGCCCACTGGCTGAAGCTGTGGTAGCCAGCTGGAAGTCTTGGCACAGGACTGGTGTCAATGACATGGAGGTGCCCCCTGGCTCTGTAAGGCTCAGGTTCTTTAAACATTGCTATTTTTCCAAAAATTCATCTAAGCAGCCAAAAATATCACCCTGGCTGGCTGTCTAAGCCGGTAGATTCAGGACTCAGACAAGCCTCCCTAGCCACCCTCCCCCCATTCTTCCACATCCCTGCCAGACTTGCCATGAGATGGCAGAAATGTCTGCAGCCCTTGGGCAGGAGATGTCATGGGGAGGAGAGGCTAGATTGAAACCCTGCCCATGGCTCCAGCCCAGAGCCCTTCTGTCTGTGCCCAACCCTGGGGAAGGAAAGATGGGGCTTAGAAGGACCCTTGGGAATGTCAACTCCTCACAGCCTGTCTCCAAAGACAGATTGGGATCTCCCCCCACCCCTGAACCATCCCTTTGCTTGATGACCTTGGGTAAGCCCTTGCCCCTCTTTAAGCTCCATTTCCTCTGGGACCATAGGGAGAGTTTCCTGAAGCCAGGAGGGGAATTCTGTGTATAATGTTGGGTCTCCTTGAAGGTGGGGTTCCACCCTTCTTTAGCCCAGCCTCCCATGTTGGCCCCGCAGGCGGCCATGATGAGAGCCTGTGACAGACAAGAAAGCTTTACTTAAAGGCTCCTTCCGTCCTAAGACCTGTCCTGGGGAATGTGGTTTTGAACAGGGTCCAAGTCTACGCTGCCTGGTGTGAGAGAGCAGGGACTCTTAGGCAGGAGTCTCCCCGGTTGCCAGGCTAGGTGGGTGGAGCACTTGGCTCCAGGTGGGGAAGCTGGCCTTAGGCTTTGCCCAGCTCTAAGTCTCAAAGTCTCAGATTTGTTGGCTCTCCCAGTGTGCCTCACTGTACCAAGCTGGCTTCAGCTCTCCCAGTGTTTGTGCTGTTCTTCATCACCTCTTCCCTCACCCCTGTGAATTGTCGTGAAGAGTTCTTTAAGAGTATAATAGAAGACAAAGAAAGATGCTATTAATGTTATTTTGCCAAAAATATTTTTGTAGCATAATATATTAATAAAAGATATTATGAACTTAACCTTGGTGTATCCATGTGCTGAACTTCAATCCCTTTCTCCTTCTGCAGGAATCTTTGGGGGACTTGCCTGGCTTGTGAGAGCCGGGACCTGTAACAGTGTGGCATAGACAATGCGAATGGCCCCATTTCCTATGCATAGATTTGGGTCTGGGCTGAGAAGGTGGCTTCAGCAAGGACCTTGTGGGTGCAGGGCCCAGCACTGGGAAGTGTGTATGACCCTTGCCAAGCAAAGGGAGCTGCCCATGTTTGGAGCAAGAGTTGTGCAGCTGTGTTACACACCACCAAGGCCTGGGCTTTGCTGGAGGAGCTCCCACTTTGTGTCACTTTCGTCTCTGTGGTTCTCCTTGGCTCGGGCCTACTGGGAAATGTCTGCCAGTCACATCTATGTCCCTCTAACCTATTATCTCCCCTGCAGCTAAAGTGAGTTCTGCAAACCACAAAAATGACCATGTCTTTCCCTCCCGTGAAGACTCTAAAGTGCCTCCCCAGTACTGCTGGCAAAAGACATCCAAGCCCTCTAAGATCCAGTCCCTACTTATGTTTCCAGCCAGAAAACCATCTCTTCCTGTGGTCCCTCTCCTAGGATACAACACTCTATAGTCATTGCCTGTGCCCTCTGCTTCTTGGCTTTGTCTAGCTTGTCTTTGCACATGTTGTTGCCAGTGCTGCCAGGCTCCCTGCGTCTCCGTGTCTCACACATTGATCCTTGTTCCCCTGTGCATCCTACATGCCCCAGCTCCAGCAGTCCCTTCTCCAAGAAACCTTCTAACCCCCCATACCTAACTGGTCACGTGTACCCTGTGGAACGATGAGATCATTAGCGTGCTCTCTTCCTCTTGGCTCCAGTACAGTACGCCTGTGTCACCTCCAAGCACAGTGACTGATGGCCACCACATAGCTACAGTCTGTAGTGAGTGCTTGTGGAAGAATGATGGAGTCCATGGAAAAGGAAAGAATGAAGGGGAGGTGGGTATCAAACAAGGCACATGGAACACATGGAAGCATCAAGTGTCAGCTCCTGGGACCTGAGTTTCCCAAGGAATGTCCCCAGAACTTGGACATAAAAGAGATGTCCACTGGAATATTGGAAGTCGTGGGCTGCAGAGATAACTCGGTCAGTGAAGTGCTTGCCTGCAAGTATGAGGACCTAAGTCCAACCACTAGAGCCTGTGTTTTGTTTTGTTAAAAAGAGAAAAAGAAAAAAAGCCAGGCATGGGGGTGCAGATTTGTGATCCCAGTGGTGAGGAGGTGGAGACCGGCAGGTCCCTGGGCTCACTGGCCAGCCAGGACAGCCTACTTATGGAGCTGTGGAACAATAGACACTGTCATGGTAGGCCCATGTCTAGGCACAGGTGTTAATGTTGTGACTGCTGGCTAACATTTATGGAGAATTTGTGGTATAGCAGAAAATGTTCAACTCATTTGATTCTAGAATCTTTTCAGAACTTCTACACATCGGTTCCATTTTTAAAATGAAATAACGGAGATACAGAGATGTTAAGTAACACGACTGTGATCCCATAGTGAGTGAGTGTGTCAGGGCCAGAACCCACAGCCATGACCCAGGCTAACCTCATTCTACTAATCTGGAGATGGGGGACGGTGGCTACGAAATGGGCAGGGAAAGTGTTGGCACCCACAGCCTACAGAACAGGTGGGTAAGGTCAGGATTCCACGAAGTCAGATGGGTCCTAGAACCCACCCAGGACTTCATTGTATCTGACAACTGCACGAAGGAACTCCCGGGAGATAGCCGTGCCCTGTTCCAGCTCCGGTCAGGGCCTTCTGTGATGACATCAATGGTGTAAGGATTCCTATTATGAACCCAACCCTGTGCTTTGTGCTCTTTCTCTCTTTCCCTCTCTCTCTCCCTCCTTCTCTCCCTCTCCTTCCTTTCATCCCTCCCTCTCTGGGAGCCTTGTTCCTCAATTCATGTACTCCCTGAAGAAAGCTGTGGCCCAGAAATGGGACACAATAGAACAGGTGACTAAGAATAAAAGTGTTGAAGGAAGGCTGCTTGGCTGTTTGTTGGTTCCCCGGCCACCCAGACCCCGGAAATAATCACACAATCAAATAGTCATGGCCAAGTGGCAAGCACTGGGACAGGGAAGAGCTGGGAAGGGCTGGGGATGCCAGCTGCTACAGTGTAGGAACAGCCAGGCCATGTCTGGGCTGTGAGTAGACAGGACAAAAGGTTGGGTCTTCCAGGCCAGTGAGCTACGGGAGACAGGAGGCTTCAGGCTGTGCTGAGTCCAGCTAGAACCCCTCCTCCCTCTGTCCAGGAGATGCTAGTACAGGGCAAAAGTCAAGCAGAATGGGTAGGATGGGCACAGGGGATAACTCCAGCTGCTGTCCCCACAGCTGTTGACCCAGGTGAGCAGACAGGTCACTCTTAGGACACTTTAATTAGGATTATTTTCAGAAATTCCTTTTTTATGTTGGCTGGTCCTGGGCTTGGGAAGCAGTTCCTCTGCCCTTCCCTCATTTGTGTATGTAGAATAGTGTGTGTGTGTATGTGTGTGTGTGTGTGTGTGTGTGTGTGGTGTACTGTGGTGTGTGTGTGATATGTGTGTACTATGATGTATTTGAGTACTGTGGTGTGTGGATGTAGTGTAGTGTTTGTGTGTGATGTGTCTCTCTGTGTGATGTGTGTATATCTTTATTGCTTTTTTTCAATTCTTCCTCCCTATCAATTACAACTAAAGAGGAATAACATTTCTAACCTGAAGAGCAGGTTCCCAACAAGGAAAGCTGCAGCATCATGAGATCTCCTGGCTTCCATTCACCTCCCATCTCTTTGAAATGGTGGCAGGGGATGATTGGTCCTGCCACACAAGCAGGACCTTGACCAAGGGCCAGGGAAGAGAATGCATGAGATCAGAAAAACAGAAAAAAAAACATATGTAGGGAAAGGTGGAGAGGAAGCAAGATGTAGAGCTAGGATGCTGGGAGGTGGGGGAGGAACAGTGGAAAGGGCCAGGGTTGAGAAGACAGAAAGAAATGAACCTACATGAGGGTTGAATCAGGAGACTGCACCACTGCAGTCTGAAGGAAGAGTAGAGTGGAGCAGGGTCTCTGTGGCATAGGGAAGGTTACCATGGGGAATGTCACCATGGGGAATGTCACCATGGGGAATGTGTCACCATAAGGACTGTCACCATGGGGAATGTGTCACCATAAGGAATGTCACCATGGGGAATGTGTCACCATGAGGGGTGTGTCACCATGGGGAATGTGTCACCATGGGGAATGTGTCACCATGGGGAATGTGTCACCATGGGGATTATCACCATGGGGACTGTCAACATGGGTAATGTCACCATGAGGAATGTGTCACCATGGGGAATGTCACCATGGGGAATGTGTCACCATGGGGAATGTGTCACCATGGGGAATGTGTCACCATGAGGAATATGTCACCATGGGAAATGTGTCACCATGAGGAATGTGTCACCATGGGGAATGTGTCACCATGAAGAATATGTCACCATGGGGAATGTGTCACCATGAGGAATGTGTCACCATGGGGAATGTCACCATGGGGAATGTGTCACCATGGGGAATGTGTCACCATGGGGAATGTCACCATGGGGAATGTGTCACCATGGGGAATGTGTCACCATGGGGAATGTGTCACCATGAGGAATATGTCACCATGGGAAATGTGTCACCATGAGGAATGTGTCACCATGGGGAATGTGTCACCATGAAGAATATGTCACCATGGGGAATGTGTCACCATGAGGAATGTGTCACCATGGGGAATGTCACCATGGGGAATGTGTCACCATGGGGAATGTGTTACCATGGGGAATGTCACCATAGGAAATGTCACCATGGGGAATGTCACCATGAGGAATATGTCACCATGAAAAATGTGTCACCATGGGGAATGTGTCACCATGGGGAATATGTCACCACGAGGAATGTCATCATGGACTCTGCAAACTCAGCACGCATTGGTACTTTACAAGAAGCCCAGCCATGGGCCTGGAGACAGCACTTCTCAGACAGAAGGCTCCTCTACCTAGGACAACTTGAAAAAAATCACACCCAGGAACAGCCAGACTTCCTAAACTTGATAGGACAGCTACTCCCTTTAGTCCATCCTAAGATCCTCCAGGCTCATTCAGTCCTGGGCTCATCAACAGGGGCCCTGCTGGGCCTGGGGACTGGACTTCAACTTCCCTTCTCTCAGCCTCATTTTCCCTAGTTCTGTATTGGAATAATAAGAGTACTTCAGTGGTGAGCATTTAGTGAGATGGTGGGAAAACACCTTGGAAACAGGCTCACAGGATGAGTTAGCCTATGGGCACCACACACAGGCAGAGGTCAAGAAGCAGCTGAGGCTGAGGCTTCTGAAATATTCTGCATTCAGAGCACAGGGTTGCCAGTAGCAACAGAGGCTATGCCACTGTAGCTGAGCTCTGGGACACTACTCTGTGACTAGCCGGAGGCCACAGCAGCTTTAGAACAGAGGAGTGGCATAGTACGGAGTAAATCTGATACCTGGGGCCAGTCTCATCCTTCTACTGAGCCTCAATGTTCACACCCTTACAATGGGAAAATATAGCCCGAGCCCAGAGTTACCCGGAAAGTGAAGAGGGTACAGTTATGCTTTGGAGAGATGAGAAATGAAGACCAATACTGCTGGTATCAAGATGAGGGGGAGGAAAGGGGTGAAGGGTATTGACTGGGCTTCCTACCTTAGGCCTGGACACAGAAACAGAATGACCCACTGGCTCCCATATCCCAGAGACCCTTCTGCTGCCCCACTGGGATCCCATAGAGGAATGGATTCTCCGAGCCCTTTCACCTCCCTTCTTCTCTGAATCACCCACATCAGTTACACCCCAGAAGCATAGGAGTTAGGGGCGGAGTTTAGGCTTGGAAGATGGTCCCCTAAATCCAGCAGCTGCCACCAGAGGGCAACACTACTCAGGCTGTGACCTTGAGCCCTAAACAGGGGACCAGAAGGAGCAAGACTGGAACGATGGGTG